AAATGTGTATATCAATCCATCTGTGGAAGCAGGTACAAAAGAACCAAAAGAAAGGCATCTACTCGGTTTTATGAATCTATTTCGAGAAGTCTGCGTCTGAAAGGTAGCAACGTCTTTACCGGCGTAACCGCCAGGCACTAAATGGGAACAAGACATCAGATAGCTATTCCTCAATCCTTCGGGATAACCAACAAACAAAGAACGCCATGTTCATTACGCTTTGCGGAAACCCTCGTCACTGTACACTTTCAATCTAACCTTTGTACTCAGAAAGAGATTGACTAACCCTGTTAACTGTATATAGTTTTCTACACATGTACGTAGGTATTTCCCATCTTTTTGATTGCATCATTTCTTCATTGCTTATTACGTTTTTCTCAATTTTTAATGTAATTGCGTAGCCTAGTAGCTCTTTAACACCTTCTTTTACACTCCTGCTTGTTGTTCATTTCTCCATAGCTCTAGAACCTGATACATCGGATATAAATTGCCATTGATTTCGATTAAAACCTGTTTACTCGACTAATCCTGAATTTAAAATCTTCATTTATTTTTACATTTTTAAAGTAAGCTATGTCATTATTACTACCAATATTTCACTTCAATTGTGGGCTGTTTGCAGATGATGAAGGGCCGCAAAATTAAATAAGCTCATTTTATGGTGCAAAACGTTTTTTCCTTGCATTATTTCAATATACAACAGCCTACGATTATTAAACATTCTTATAACCTCCTGGCACCATGGGCCAATAAAATGTCCCATTTATAGGAAACCTACATGAACAAGGTAGCACCCATATTGTCATAGTTTCTTTCCCCTACAATATCAACCGGCGCTTATCAATTTCCCGTCCAACCAGTCAAAGGATGTACACAACTGGGGAGATGTAAACTTCACTAAATAACTATACACTACTCGTTATAGAAATGTTGAACAAAGATGCACTATTCAGACACCTACGAATAAAGATGTACATTGATTTGTTTGCATATTTCAAATATGTTTCCAAAAACATTTTGAGACATATACTTAGACTCGTGGAAACTAGCTATAAGGAGGTTTAGACCGCTTTTATGGATTCATAAACTATTTGTTGTTGTATTAAACCTACCCCGGTAACTCAGCCTTGATACCAAGGGTGTGTTCCCGTGAAGGGTATCAGTTTGACCATATGCTATTTCGATTATTTTTAAAGAGACTGATTTACCCTTAGTAGTGCTTCATATAGAAATGGATGACCAGTGTATTGCACTAATACAGCACATGTTTCAAATCAATTACATCCTATTATTATTTTTTCGAAGTCTACACAGTTCATTGTGCTAAGCCGTGGGTGTTTCACTCCATCAAAGTTGTTGAAGTGAAGCACGTTTCCACTGCATTACATCTATGATCAATCGAACTTCATTCAATTATATCCGGTACCTGATAGCATGGCATTGTGTTGACGACTGTTACTTGGTTGACCAAAGTACCTGAATCATTATTACGGAAGAAAAGCTACTGTAAAAAAAGTAGTACATATTTGACCGAAACTAGAGTCAACTCAAATTTAGTAATACTCTGTTACTTGTTATATACCGTCATCGAGTGGACAAAATCGATCGGTCTCCTTTAGTATATGGGCTCCTGGACAGATGTCTCGTTATTGCCTGTGTTTCAATGTATGTAACTGATGAATAGTGGTTATCAGCGGAATCCAGAACGCACCTTTCGTCCTACTCGAGACTACTCAGCTACTAACTACTACTTATCATTAATATAAAACTGAAGCACAGGGACTACTGAGGCATCCACACATAGGCCCGTATGCCGATAGAGACCGACCAATTTGGTCCAATCAACGACGGGATGATGCAAGTAACAACTTGGAAATTATACCCGTTGCGCGAAAAGTGGCTACCATGACTCAATGGCCTAGTGGATAACGCCCTGGCGTTTGAGGCGACAGGTCCCTGATTCGAGTCTGAGTGAGAACAACACTGTTCACTATGATGTCGGTACATACATTCGACTTGGGACTGAACAAGAAAGAACGCACCTCGCGGATTCCCCTGCTTGCCACTTTCATCAATATAAGTGATACTCCATCAGAAATTGCTTAAACTCGAGACTACTAAATTAGTGTAAAATGAGGTGAAGGTTAGACAATATTCGAATATAACTGGATCAGAAATGATGAGTTTTGATGTAAAAAGCTTACATGCTAATGTAGCAATCAACACGGCCTTAAAAACTATCAGAATCAAACCGTACAGTGATCCTAAGCTTATTCATAAAACTAGGGTATGGTCTAACGGTATCATATTGAGAACTCAGTTATCACACACAGTTTTCAAATTATTGAAGATATAATGTGTAAAACAAAAGTAGTTATAGGGTCATCAACATGTCCAGCTGGGAACGTATAACCTTAAGGACATTCGAATCTCACCGATCGTATGATGATATGTGGATGAGGTATAAAAACCACAACCCAGTGAGAAATAGAATTATACTTACTTTCGAAATAGATGGAATTAGGGGTAAGTGGAAGATTGCTGGAAGTTTTAAAAACCCTTCAGTTGAAAATTTAAGTATCAGTACTGATAAAGGACTTATTTGTTAAACACTCTCAACTATCCCGTTAATGTTTCGGGAATCGCGAATTCCCATCTTTAAGCTATATACATCACTATAATGTGTAAGCAGTCGACACATTCAGTAAATGATGAAATAGCTGGAAAATAAAATTCATTGCCTTTTTGTGTTTTAGACTGAAGAAAACTATACTCATTAATGTTGCGAATATGAACAAAACAAGTCTGAATTAGTATCTAGTATTTCACTGTGATATCTGATAGAGAGAAAACTCCTTGTTTTATCGAAGTCGATAAAACGCCTTGAATATAAGTTAGACTTGATCATTTTCTGCTTGTATAAGATCTCAAATTGAATAATCTCTAGAATAAGGCCATCTCGTCAGTTGGATGATAGACAGTTCATCATTTTAAATAACTCATGAGAATCACTTTGATCCTTTTAGAGATGGCGAGATTTTGCGAAATCGTTAACTTGAAACGAGTAACGAATATGAAAAAAGGGCTCAGTGAATTCATAAATGTCAATAGAATCCATCAATGAGATAACCAAGAGAAAGAAAAAGCCCCAAGATTGATGACAAAGCACCCAGTAAAGTGCAATTTAGAGGCCCTTTTCGACTATCATGAAAACAGTGGGACAAGATGCGTGCAACTGTCCGATTCTGTGCAAATTGATTTGTGAAAACGAATCCCTACAGGCAGAAACAAACGGTAGTTAGCATGAATCTACCATAGTAGAAATTGCCACGGGGTTTAATCACATCAACTTTTTCCAATCTGTTTTGCATTCAGTCATGACTGGAAAGGAAATCGAAATGCATTCAGCAACCACGTGCAGTAGGCAATGTCCTACACTTTATGCGTGACGGCGATAATACTACCTGGCTCCGCAAACACGGGTAGTTAAAGCGGTGTTCGAACACGTAGCTTATTATCTGAAAGTCAATATTACGTTGAGCTGTGACGTGATGGCCTGAGCGACTTTCAAGCAAAGCTATTTCAACGGATAGAAGTAGTACGCTTTCCGAACAATAAATGGTAAAAAAAAGCGGCTAACGGGTCCCACTTTAACTAATTCAGGGAACGTGAAGGTAAGTTCACGGGTAGGAAATCTAATAGGGAAAACCGAACAGATAGAATCGAGTCACAGTAGGATACACACACTACTTTTGATGTAGTAATAAATGCATTTGTTCTAGGTTTCTTCTCTGATGACAGAAACCATCTAATTCGGCGGTCAAAAGTAGAAGAGCTGGACTATTTATTTAATACCACTCGGCAGAAGGAACTGAATATAATCCCACTGTGTACGAAATAAAAAGAAATTTTTCCTCAACTTTTTGCTGTGAGCCACAACTTCTCCAGCAGAATATACAGATTTTCGGAAAATCTGGTGAAAGCCGTAAAAGCAACGTAGTATTACCTAGCTCCGCAGAAGAAGACTAATCCATGATCTTTTTCATTGATTCTTGACCCCTTCTGTCGCTCATCTAATTATTCAGAAATAGCCACATCAACTATTGTGATCAAAATTCATCCCATAGAAAAAATTAACTGATGTCTACTGATTTAGCCACTATTTCCTAGACTTTTTCGAAACTAAACAGCCTAGAATGACACAACGTTGTTAGGTCGCAGCACATTTCACAGATCACCTAATACGTAATTAACGAAGACACACCTAAATACACATTTTCTGTCCATATCTTGGTGGACTTGAAAAGTATGAATGATTCACGGAGTGAGGAAAACATTTTCTACCTACTGTGCCGCAAACGTATGACAATGATACACAGACCCGTCAATTACTCGAAAAACTTTATATGGATAACTATTTAATCACCTGTTCAAAGATGAAGGGTTAACAGACGCATAATTAACATTAGCATGCAATGGCAATATGTTATAGTAACAAAACTTATATCGATTATCATTTGACTAACCAAGACAGCCGTAGTTTGGCAGACTAGTATTTATACTGGGTGATGATTGAAGGGGAGATGGAAATCTGGACCCCAGTCGGATTTTCATCTCACCTTCAACCATCACCCAGTATAGAACTTATATCACCGTGCGTGAGCAATACAACTGTGTCAATGAGGTTCGTATTGTGTAACATATTAATGGATAAAGGTGACATTAGTAGATGATAAAATCAAAAGCTTCCAAATAGCCACATACTGTTAGTAAAAGCCCGGCCATACTCACATCTCAAATTATCTCATCTTAAGCGCCAACCATAAGAATCAATAAAAATCAATGAACTACACTAAACAAATAGAATATAATGATCACAGCTCAACTTAGTTCATTACAGGCTACTAGTGGTTGTGTTTATACTTGCATAGCAAAGTCTGTACATCTTAAAGCTAACTGTTAGATATCGCAGAACATTAGACTATCAAAATAAACAAAATTTAAGAGGTCGATGAAAATACGATATATTTGTAAAGATAGGAACACACTAATATATATATATGTAGAAAAAAAAATAATTTGGTTGTGTGAAACAGGAATCTGTAGTTCAGGTTCATTTGACTGTCCTGAAATAAATCGATAAGACTAAATTAGAAATTTGGGCCTATATGATTGAAGCGTAGATACTTTAATGATGTCATAGCTGGTCAACCGTTCCAATGAAGGCTATGAGTAGTGCAATCTGTAGAACTAATCAAGTATCCGAAACAAATGCAGAAAGCATTCGGCTCAGAAATATCAGTTTGCTCCACACGTAGCCTCCAATATATGAACAGTGATAGAAGATAATGAAAAAATAATCAGAAAACATCGTACGCCAAAAAAAGTTAAATCTTTATCACCTTAATATATAAATGATTTATATAATATTTAGTGAAAGTGATAAACTTACATTTACACTATGTGTACAATCACTTTCCGACTGGAGTCATAAACAAAGTGATGTGCCTTGAAAAGATCACTCTGCAGGAATGCACGAACAGAGCTAATATTCATCTGCTTGGCTCGTTCGGCAAATTCGCGTTCTGTAATCTCGATACGCCATTGTTGATTGCCAGCATGCCGAACACGCTCGAAAGCTAGTCGATCTTGAACTAACTGCTTCAGCAAGAACAGTAATAACTCTTGATTATCACGACGATAACTAAGAAATCGTGAAAAAGTCTGAAAATGGAATAACAAAAGTTCATGTCAGTATTAGAAAAATAAACCGTAATACTGAAATCTCCTGAGCTGTATCGGAAATGCAGAGCTTATAAACATATTGCTATGCAGTAAGTGCAGTAACTGAAGTGAATAATTGCATACTACTAACATCAACTAAGCAGTCTCAAAACTGAAATCATTGAGCATCGGCATGACTGATTCAGTAATATTTAAACAGACTTTATCCGTATTTACGTGAAATATCTTCGTTACGACAGTCAAAATAATTTTAAAGAAAGAATTTTTTTTACTTGTCAATAACAAAAGAAATAGCTACATATCGCTTACTTGACGCATCGACTTCATGACGCTGAATTTCTGAGTGGAAACGAATGATTCCAGCATGACACGTAAAGCCATATTAACATCATCCTCATTAACAAATTCACGTAGATGTAGACGTGCATGAGCTTCGGATAAACGAATAACTGATTCGATGTGTCGAACAGTTATTGGTAAACTTCCTGTGATCTACAAAATGAACAAAATTAGAAAAAAATGTTGTGAACATGCAAAGATGAACGATGAGCAGTGAAGGCTACTTGACAATCATACATAATGGATTGAAAGTTGGAAATAATGAAATAATTGTAGTTAATGATGAAAACTTACCATGGATTCACGTCTTAAATCGGCATAAGCTGCAGCAACCTTATCCTGATCCATTTGATTCAACTTTGGATGAATACGATCTTTGGCATAAATTATATATTTTTTTAACAATTCCTGAATTTAAAGTAAAGCAAAACATGCTTGAATATAAATTTTTCAAGATAGTATATGAACAAAAAATATTGAATTGTATGTTGACTGTGCCGTGTTTCATAACTGTGATATTTATATATATATTTATGGTTACACACTGACAATATAAACGAATGTCACTGTCTGTGTCCTTATTTAATGTAGAATTCCATCAAACTGAATGTCATATTAAACACCAATCACATACCAGCTGACCTTGCAAGTAACAGCTTATTAAACAAAAGAATGAGAAATAACAACTTTAAGTTATATGTGAACTTGTGTGAGACACTTAGTGATTGGTTATTTTCAAATCGACTCGACAAGACGTATCAAAACACCACTAAGAATAGTAATATCAACAGAAATGTTTGTTGACCAAAAATACATATAACCATGGAAACAATCAGAAAAAACAACGAATGACACAAAGAGACAAGAACGCATTAGGAAAAGAAATGCGAGATACGTTAATAAGTTCGTTTTCGTGATGAAAAACTTATATTTGATTGCATCACAGATCCTTCAACATAACCCAATGATTATCCTTATTTTAAGTGAGAAGTAACCACAGTGGTTTATATTTTTAAAAACTAACTGAGCTGGCTATCTCTTAATGATCATGTGCATATTCATGCACTAGACAATCAGCCAAGCTCGTTGTATGAGAGCTAATGGCTGCTATTTCTCAGTAGATCGCGCGGGTTTCGCACCCATGACCCAATGGTTAAGGATAGACTGTCCAAATCAATGGGCTATAGCCCCACCTTCTGCAAAACTACCATAAATATTTGTTCACCATAGTTCATTACCAAGTCTTTTTAAACTATAACTAATGTCTACTTGGTCATCTAGACTTGGACTAGCAAAAGATGGGAACACTATATATAGACAAAATGTTGCATGATAGTTACAACACTAGGAATAGATGAACTATATGTTGACCCAAAAGCACAACTCTGTACACTATGAGGAACTAAAATTGCTTGACATTTATTTGGAACAGGAAAATACTATTTAAAAAAACAAAAACTATTCACAATGGTGTCAAAACATAATTCTCTCTCAGAAGAATTACCTTTATTGAAATTCGACGAGTCATAAATATATAGCATTACTACATTATTTCAACTTCCAAGTCCGAAGATCCTAGAGACCCAGGAAAGCGCGGTTCAAAATAGTATAACATATAACCCAGGATAGAAGTCGACAGTGAACGTATTGTAGACTTCTACAGAAGAAAGGGTCAGTCATGAAAACTTCACTAAACACCTTGATCTATAGTTATCAAGCTCATCAGCCTAGCTTTAGCAGTGTTCGGAACCCTGTTAAGTCAGAACACTGTGTCGGACAAATAACTACAACTAATTATCTTTAACTATTATCACAATCTTGCATTTTGATAAGGCATGGGCCCTTCACTAATAGAAGAGGTGACGCTAAATTTTTACTGCTAAAAAAACACCGCGATAGTCTGAAATAACAGTTAAGAAAGAGTCGATTTAAAAGAATAAGGACAGTCAACGGATACCTAAGGCGAAAAAAATAAGCAGTCAGTAGAAACTCTAAACGATTTTAACTTCATCAGTTAATGGCAGGAATATCCTTTGCATATGAAAGGTTGAGTATAAACGCCTACTAGTTTGCACGAAAGAAACCATACAACGAACACACAAAAGTTTGGTAGCAACCTTATTTGTTCAAAATGTCACCCGTATGCAAAATATGCGGTAGAAAAGCAACCCAATAAAATAATTTTGACACTCGATATCAACAAAAAAGCAAAGTAAATTAATACCGAAAATTACAGATGACGGTTTTTGACACAGTTGCGTTGGCAAACCGAATGGATATATATATATATATATATATATATATATATATATATATTCAATAAGTTTTGTTAGCTAATGCACCGGTTTCTTAACATTTAGTCAACTAAAATGAGTACAGCAAACTTGAAAATTGAGAGGAAAACAAAGTAATTATCTATATATTTGGTGAGTTACATTACGATTGACTCTACTTAATTCATGTGGCAGGTAATTTTGAACATCACATGCATATTATCCCATGCGGAGCAAAACCTAGCTATGATTTCTCAACACTTACGTTTAAATTGATACAACAAATGTCTGGTTGTTCAAAACTCATTGCAGTGTACATAGTTAAATCACTAACGCATTTTCTTAGCCCTAACCAACCTATGAACAAATGAAGTTGTAAACTGGTAGATCGTGAGCTGTGGCTCATTGGTTAAGGGACTTGACTTTCAATCAGTAGGCGACGGGTTTGACCACCGCTCCACCTACTGAGTTTTGGGCAGACAATTAGTATTCTTGGTCCTCTCACATAGGTGTAGCTCATGACGTACTGCACGAAATTGCACGTGGTTGCTGAGTGTATTTCAACTTTCGAGAACATATACTGAGATGCCACTATAACCATCAGAGCTTATGGAGGAAACACGAGTGTACCGGACATATAAATCATGTATACAAAATATCTTCAGGACTCAAAAATCATGATACATTAATTCATAAGTTTGAACACAAATGAGTTTGCTCACACGAATAGGCTTTAAGTCATAATATCCTCTTCGAGTGAAAAATAAGACGTATTAATAAAGTGTAGGTTAATGAAAAAAATAACCGAGATAATCCTAAGCATATTATGGCATTATATATCAGTAAACTGTACTGTTTCCCTTCACCGAATGGCTCTAGATTTTGCTGAAGTTACTAAGTATACAGAGAACTCCGATAGACATGTCAACTTGGAAGGGAAAAAAAAGATACGTGGTATAAATAAAATGAAGGTTCCTGACAAATTTTAAATCGTTTTGCTTCAGTCACCTTTGAGAAAAATACTAGAAATCAAGCCTTTTTGACAGTGATGTACAACAGTTCTATCCAGCCGACCACTGAAAGCATGTATCTTTACGTGGTAGCATCTAGGAACACGATCAGTAAAAGGCAACAGTTAGTTGAATAATCTCAGAATCAATCATGTATTTCACACAACACTAAAAACTGAAATGGGAATTTCCGCTCGAAAGAATATATACAATCGCTACGACAATTACTTACCTGATCTAGGGGTTGCATATCCGAATAAGAACCTGTTCGGGGGACACCCAGTTCTGTTAGCTGATTATTCAATGTGGCTCGCTCTTCTGAAGTGATGTTAGGATGATGACGCATATGGCTTCCAACAACAAAACGTGCAAGCATTTCATCCTATTGGCAAATTAAAAAGAGGGCACAGCGCCTACTACAAAGTAATTTTAATACCAGAAATGGAACTTTTCCGACAATTAAGCTGTCTGCATAACAATGATACATAACATATTTTCGGGGAGAAATTAGGTTTTCAGTACCAAAATGACTCATCGGTGATAAACAGGATGGTGATTAAATGCAATATATTGACTAGTAGACATTAATGTTTGCACAATCTATAATCGAGAAACGTATTCCTTCTCTAAGAAGATTTACTTTATTATTTACTTTGTTTCACTCGAAATTAAAAGATTGTATTGAGAAACACTAGAAATCTGACCATTGTACATTAAATTCATACAAAGCATCATCACCCTAAAGATTAGAAATTGCCTCAAACATTGTTGAACTACTTAAATTCACAAAGGTAGCAGCAATTTACAATGAGATAAAAACCAAACGTTCCTTGTGATCAGCGTATTTCATGCATTAGGTGTTTTAATTTTAAAAAATCAAGTATTTAATCGCACATTTCTCCTCGTCCCCACGTTTGTTCAACTGGAAATGCCGAATGCACGACGCCACTAGGAGTTGAATGAATTAAGGATTATCCGAATATTTTTAAAAAATTACTCTGATTATTTTAGTTGCTTTCGTGTTTCCTTTCTGACAGCTACTTAACTAGTTAACAAACAATGGAACTGTAGCTCATTGGATTAGGGAGTTTACTTTAAACCAGTGGGTCACGAGTTCGAACAGCGCCTCGCTCACAGAAGTTTGGGCAGTCAAATAATGTCGTCGGTCCTCACACAGTAGGTTTAGCGCATTATGTACTGCACAAAAAAGTAGAAGGTTGCTAAGTAAAATCCAAGTTGAAAAAACCTAATTAGGCAACCGTTTAAGGTGTTAACTAACACGTTGAACTGGTTTAGTGATGCAGGTACTCTATTTACAGCCACTGAGATGTTTCAGTTCATCCCACTTACTTCAACCTGATTATTATGAAAGCACTACTCTTGATTAAGCTAGCTGCTGGTCAGATGGAGATTGGCTATTATGCCAGTGGTAAGATTTGATGTGACCGACTGGTATGTACCATGACACAAATGCAAAATGACCAGACTTGACTTATGCCTAAACCAAGTGCAAAATGAATAATGGACACGAAAAGCAAAAACCGGTAGCTTATCTATCGTAACTCTAATCACTTGGTGAAATAATATTTCTAATGATATACAGACACTGAAACTGAAAAAACAACTCAGAATATCTAAGGATATGATCATTCAAAGTGAAGTTGAAGGTCACCAGACAACCTAATGACTCCATATTCAAACGTAGGACTGCCTTTTGTGAAATCGGGTTATATCATCCGCTTCTATACGTATAACACATTAGTGTACTTCCCAAAGTGTTGATGTCATGCTTCAGAACATGATACGGTGATCTAAGTTTCCGATGACTAAAAATTATTTTACATGTGATTTAAGTAGGATAATTGAGTAGTAATATTGTAGTGGGCGTTGCTGATGAAAATGGATATTAGTATATGTTGCAAATGACTTAGTGCAAAGTGTACAGTATTTGATGACTACTGTACAGGATGTCAGTAATAAACATTCCCTCCTACGTCTTAGTCTTCTCGTTTCCTTCAGTACTAGCTACTATACAACAGGTTTCGTTAGTAACAATGAAGACAAATACAAATAGTTAAGTTCTACTGTTTTATACAATATTCTTTAATTCAACTTTTTACTCACGTTTATGTATAGGACTGTGTAGAACAAACTATCAATATCGACATAAGGTGCAAAGTATTTCGTATGTACTACTTCCATTCATCCAAAAAATATGCTTACCATTAGTGGCTGCTTACCTGGATAGGATCTACTCCATCTCGAACAACACAAAGAACATCGAAACGGCTTAAAATTGGTTCACTCAGATCAACATTATCAGAGAATGTCATACTTGGATCATAACGACCACCAATAGGATTTGCAGCTGCAATAATAGTACATCTTGCTTGCAGACTTGTAACAATACCTGCCTTGCTTATTGAGATACTCTGTTGCTCCATGGCTTCATGAATAGATGTTCGATCTTGATCATTCATCTGTGAGAGTTAAGAAAGTTAACATTAGCATACAGTTAACGAAATAACTAGCAAAATTCAACGAAGATAAATTTTAAAAGTTATATCAACATGTTCATACAGTGACAGTCTGTTAGGCATGCAGGCATTCAAACGCTGCTACACTATGATAAGTAACGGGTAAAAGTGCTGGTCTATTAACTCACGTTTAACCAACACAGGTGTCAAAATTTGCGTGGATGCAAACTTCAATCTACTACACATGCAGAATAACTTTTCAAACTGCACGTAACATCAAAACCTTTTGACTTTGCTTCACAGTTATGCTATAGATTTAGGTTCCATATGAAATCTAGTTACTTTAAATTAAACAAGTTATATACAATAACTACCTTGTCAAATTCATCAATAAGACACACACCACGATCCGCAAGTACAAGAGCACCAGCTTCTAAAGTCCATTCCCGACTCATAGGACTACGAGTGACGTATGCAGTCAGACCAACTGCACTTGCACCTTGACCAGTCGTGAAAACACTTCTAGGTGCTAACTGTTCAACACACTTTAGAAATTGAGATTTGGCGGTTCCTGGGTCCCCACAAAGAAGTACATTTATATCACCTCGTATCTTATGCTTTCCGCCTAAAAGAAAAGGAATAAACAGATGAGTATATACGAAGGTAACAAGCAATTACACCAAGTTTGGTACATAAGCATTGATAACACTGTGTCCCGACACAGGATATCATGCCAAAAGTTGTGTCTGCACTCCACGTGCATCATCCAATGACGTGTATCAAGTTGATGAACATCAATCCAGTCAAGCGGTCTTTACACAAAACAAAGATTGATTTACCATGGGCTTACAACCACCAAGTGTAAACTTACTTCCCAAAGTTGGTGCACACATGCATAGTATATGTTACTCAATGCAACTGATCGTTTATTCAGCTATCTTCGCTGCGATGGGTTACCTACTTATAAAAATTTCAAAAGTACACCAGTTATAAGGCCAGTGATCCCCATTCACTTATTGAGAGTCATATATATATATATATATATATATATATATATATATATATATATATATATATATATATATATATATATATATATATATATATATATATATAGTGAAGTCATGGAGTTTGTTTCCCCAGAAACTAAATTCTCAAACAAATCAGGAGACTGTACTATTTCAGATGCAGTAAGGAGGAACCATGTAGAAGACGAATAAATCTGGTGTAATCGTATATCCGCAAAGTTGGCACACTTCATATCGGTAGACGGAGGTTAAGTTAATAAGATGAGAAATATGTCGCCAGTTGTTAAGGGCCAAACAGTAAACAAGTTAATGAAAGGGATAAAGATTAAAATGAAAACGTGGATTATTCGAGATCCAATCGACTCAGTGACATTACCTAAAGTTGCCACCTATTTCAGTCATCGTATAGACCTTTAAAAAAAGCACACGCTTCTCTAAATGAATCAGACCAACATACATAGACTTTTTGAGTTGGTACGAAAACTTGGTCAGGTTTTCTAATAAACTAATCTCACTACACCTAAAAGTACGTTGAAGTAGGTGGTTATGCACAATACACATTCAAGCTACAATCGATGAAGCTTTATTACCGTAATTAATGATCTCCAATCTATCTAGCACCACATGACTAAACCTCAACCGTACACAACCAATCAGTTACCACGAAGAGAATTTAACCAAATACCTTAAGCTTTTACAAATCCTCCCCTCCTAATTACTACTTCTTAGTAGGACGGAACGCACTTTTGAAGATCATTGATGAAAAAAGTCAACGTCACATGTAGAAATATGGCGAAACACCAGACATTCAATATCAAAAACTGCATACAAAGGACGTATCTTCCGTTCACCTGCTTAACCTTAAGAAGTTGATTGAGGAAGAAGTTAGAACAGGAATAGTCACAAACAAGGTAGGCCGTACTATGACACTATCTGCGGAGACTACTAAGCATCGGTATGCTCATATAAATGAACCTACACAGTCGAATAGATTGAACTTGTCCAAATAGATAATGAAGGCTAGGAACTAATAAGTACAATCCAAGACCTTCACAAATCAAAACACGGTACCACAGCATCAAGTCATTGACCAACGATGCAAGCGACGTTACGTAAACTAAGCTACCTTGCTGCAGTGTGAAGCTTTGGTTAACTGATTTGGGGCGACATCTAAACAATGAGTCACAGGCTCGAGTTCCGCTCCACCTGCCGAGGTTGGGGCAGCCACAATAGATGTGGCTCAGTGCCTACAATACGCATGTGCATACTGTTGATGAAAACATTTCAACTTTTTCGATCCGACATGCTTGTAGACCAATGTAAACGATACATATGTCAAGGAAAAGAATCACACCCATGAATGGTAGTATGAGCTTTAACGTTGAAGCATGAAAGCAAGTTCCATTACTAATTCAAAACAGATTGTCTGGACCGCTGATGTTTAATTGCGTCATCCTCCTGAAACTGCTGGGAATCTTGATAAAACCCCACTAATTCACTGGTGATAAGAAGGTTATCTTTGTCCTTTACGCCTGGTGACTAATCATGATTAAGCAACTCAGCATAGATGTGATTCATTGGCTGACAAAATCGGAATCAAGCTGTAAATCCTCAGCCTCAAGACAACTTCACAAACTTAGCCTGGATAACAAGGCAATAGAAAAAAACGCGTACAGTAGGTGAGGCACACGACCCTATACTGAAACCTGCTCCAGAAACTAGAATAAATTTTTCAGATTCACTATATTGCCCAGTTTATGGTTAAGTGAATAACCGCACTTGTGTACTTATACTTACCTCACAAACACAGGACATCCGTAGCCTGAGATGCAACAGCTTTCGCTAGCAAAATTCGTTATTCACTCTGAGGGAGGGTGATTATTAAAAAACCCAATGTAATTCTGAGCAGTTTTAGGAGACCAGATATGCAGTCCCATGAACCACAATTTTTATCAAGATCTGTAGAGCTGGAAGAAATCAAATGGGACGTAGGAATTCTGATCGAGAGATGCGAAGGGAGATTATAAGGTAAGGATGTGGAAGCTGTATAATGATCTGAACGAACTTGAATATTGACAGAGTTGTTAGAGGGGTTGGTACTCCAGGTGTCCATAATACGGAACGTTATTTCTTCATGAGGTAGCCAGGAAAGAAAGGTCAGTGAGTCAGCGCAATTCAAGTGGCACTTGCTTCAAACAGATCAAATACGGCCTCAACAGAATTTAGACTTTGTTTTACTTCAAAAAGCTGATTATGAAACAATATTGCCGCTGTCGGTATTTCATATGGTAGAAGTGTGCTAATTCTGTGGTCAATCCTTTTTAAAGCCCTTACTTCCCATACGGGAGTAAGCATCAACGTAGTACTCCTGGTCATTTGCAAGAAACACCTTTCTGCTGGCAAATCCCGTCCAGTCACTAGTTTGACCTTGCTCTCGAAACCCGCATCACACTGTGGCAATTTACAGTATGACAATAACTGCTCTTCATCTTATTACTATCTAAATAACCTTCCTGACATGGTAGGACCTCAAGGGAACAAGTGATTCATCACCACAGCTCGCTGGACCATTGTGGTACGCACATTCGACCTCCATGCACATGTGAACTAGGTGGGCTCACAAATGAAAGAGATGAGACGTCATAGAACAAATTCTTCAAATAAAGACTGAAAATTCCGAAAATTCGCGCCTATAAACATGCAAAATGGTAGTCAGTTACTCTATGGTTGTAGATAAAGACATATCACCATATATATATATATATATATATATATATATATATATATATATATATATATATATATATATATATATATATATATATATATATATCGGAATACTGAAGTTCCATCTACTCATGTAACTGTGGGCTTGAAAGTAGCTCCAGAATCCTTGTTGTGATTGTTTGTTTTTTGACATGTGGTCCAGGAATTAGTTTTCGAAATTTCAGCTAGAAAATAAAACAGCATAGTACCTTATGGTTCCCTACGCAGACAGTAAAGTACTGAATTTTAAATCTCGTAGACATCGACCTAAAAATGCAACCACTTAGGCTCACCAGGATTTTTAGGTTCACCACCGAAGAGTGCCAATGCAATGCCACGTTTAATATCTTCATGGCCATAAACACTAGGTGCTATGCCGGCGAAAATTCGATCAGCAATACGCTCATCACGTGAAAGCTTCAGAATTGCTCTCGTATCCTCATCAGTTAGGGTTCCCACAGCAACCTAAGTAAATAAAACTACATTTGAACTGTAAATGTGCTCCTACCTTGTCATCTTTGCGGACAACGTTGTTTGCTAAAATGACAGTCGCAAAAACTGGAAAACCATGTTTTGTGTTAAGCGACCCGTCATAACTGTGAGTATAGATGCCAGTTAGCTCCTGAGTTCAAATATAGAAGCAAATAGATTTAAAATATAACTTACTATCTCATCACCAGGTTTGCAGCTGTCCACTAGGTCATCTAGCAGGACTGCGTCTTTGGACCTAGGAAGACGGCCTGCTGGTACTTTCCCAGGACTTTCTTGCAAGGTAATACGCTGGTAATTTTTATAAATGGTCTGGAAAATAAGATTTAGTACGTTAGAAGTTGTAAAACTAGGTGGAAGCCTTAAATTAGCAGGTACTCAACATTTTAAACAGTAAACTAAACGAATTCAAAATAACTGGATTTCCTTTCCAGTAATGGCTTACTACAATACAACAGTAGTGCTTAGAAAAATGATGACCAGTGTCTAAAAAATATTTCCTTTATTTCTGTAGAGATTTAAAGATTACAAACGCAATAAAAGGTATAAATAGCCGCAACTGACAAGATATGATAGGGCTATTCCTTACCATCAAAAGAGCACATTTTTGCCGGGTGGGGTCTGAATGAGCTTCATTAGAATATCTAATAAATACTGTGGTCCTTCTAAAATATAGGTCGACAAGTTAACCCACTGGATAATTCATAAGCAGACCAACGGGCAGGAGAGCGAATCACTCTTCCCACCAAATAGCTACTACCTCGACGCGGTGGTTGGGGTTACATACCAAACTGTAATGAGTCACAATGGCAGGGACGCTTTTCCCCCCGAGGTCCTTCCCTGCCAGGAAGGTTTGCTGGATAGTGAAAAGACGAATAGCAATTACTGCCATAGTGTAAATTCCTACGCTTTGATGGGGGTCCGAGGACGAAGTCGTACCGCTGGCTGAACGAAATTCAACAGCACAATGTTTTCCGCAGATGACCAGCGGTTTCATGTGGATGCTGCCTTCACTAAAGAAAGGGAGAGGTTTAGAAAAGGATGGCCTCCAAAATAGTACATTCTCCCCCGCCACATGATTTTCTGGTGCCGTGGCATGCGTTTTGTTATCCGACATTAAAAAGATCAAATCTCAAACCAACAATCCACAAAAGGTGTGATAGGCCTCCAGTAAATGTCCAACGAGTTTTACCGTCAAATAAATCTTTCTCTTCCAGACACCCTCCAGAAACAACTACTATGGTGTGGGCAACCGGGAAATGTCAACCACTCGCACGCTTCCAGTAGTATACAAAATCCGATCGAAAATAGGCTACCCTCTCCTTACCAGTTTTATGCTTTGCCTTAAAATCTTAATATCAAAATTAAGTCGAATCGAAATACATTCAGTAACCTAGTGCATATCCGGGCAGCAGACAATGAGTTACACAAACTGTGTGACTACCCAGACTTCGACGGGTGGAGCGGTGTTCGAATTTGTCACCCTTTAGTCGAAAGTCATCTCTTTAAACCAGTTAGCCAAAGCCCGAAAATTACACCTCTCATAACTTCCTCGAACTCCCACCCTGCAAGTTATCCAAACAATTGAAGACCTTTTACTTGTTTTATAAGACCTAAGTGTCAGTTTTAAATTGGATCCTTCAACGTTTGAACTGTATGCTGCCAGAACTTTAGAATCTCGAGTCATGGGTGTATGCTGTTATTAAAACATGTATAAAGGGTCCGAGTGTGACTATTATCTTGACTTCACCTAGTCAATGAGATGAATTTCCAAAAATCCATTTGGTATCTGGAAAATCAATGGCTAGTTCTCATGAACTCGCCGGTGTGGGCATAGCATTTCTGCAGCAGAAACCGCCTTCTTTAACGGGATACAAGTCAACAGCTGTATGTGCTGTCCCACTAACCGGATTTGTAACAACTAGGAAGGATCATGAAACTAGTCGACACGCGTGTGTATAGGTGCTGAAAATTTGATAGGCTGAGCTGGATTTGAACTCACGACAAGCTAGATGAAGGAATACGTGAATATCACTAAGCTGGGTACGCGTCGAATACCGGTCACCAGTAAGTTTTATTTTACACAAAATACGCAGCGGCAGGTGGAAAGTTTGAGATCTCACGAGAACAACTATGGTGGTAGGCGTAGCTTGATTTCTTACAATGAACATAAACTGTTATTTGTCTTACTTCAATGAAGCCACTTCTCCATAATAGTAACCAAATATAACTACTATTATAAGAGACTGGATGCAATATGAATTAATCTAGACATTAATCTGCACTCTACTACGTAACTACAGAATGGTTTCATTGGAGTCATCCCAATAAATTCATGGATACTCATGTAACTACTTCAGCTCGCCTTACTTTATACCGGTCATTTACATCTTAGACATCTGCGACGTATCGCAAAGGAGGAAAAGATGTATACATCTGCACACAATTTAAACAAAATTAGTGAGTGGACATTCCTGACTAACACCATTCAGGAGACAGGTCACGCGGTAGCCAAGACCCTTGGAGACTAAGTATAGAGCCCGCAGCATAGTGGGCTCGAGGTGGTCTTTGTGACTTAATCATTTGACTTTACGTGATTTTTGGTCTAAGACTAAAAATATAACTCATGCTTTAGTACACAATATTTTAGCAAGACGAGTAGTGTTACATAACTCACCACAGACCTGGGTAAAGTCCTAAAAAGTTAATTATATAGTCAGTGTTGAATCGATCAATCAATATCAACATAGGACCAGGCATTACTGAGTAGCGATTAGTGCACCAATTCCAAGATATGGTGGTGAATTGCTTGTAGGCCCTTAATCTATTAACTTTATTCTCTGCCGTACTGTAAAAATACATCAGTTTCAAAAAAAAATAAGCATCAGCACGAAACCACTTACCTGTTCCATATTCAGTTCAAACGGTCCACCTGACTGACAATCAGGACATGTTGACGGTCGAACCTCCGAACCGGTTTGGTTCTGAACAAACGGACCCAGCAGACATCCACACTTCGTGCAGTTGTAGCGGACAACGCTCAACTGAGGAAGAACACCAGAACTACTTGTGACTACCCCGCATGTGCGAACAAGCTGATTAAGATGGAAATGACGTAGGCACCGAAGATCTTCGATTAGAGGAAGATCATTAATTCTTATATGAACTCGATTAGTTATTCGGTCGTAACGTGGGAACCTAGTTAATGTGACTTCCCGCGCAGCCTAGACGAATTAGTTCAAATACACTTTTACCTCATCGAAAATCTCCAAAACATTTTGAGGAGCTTCAGGTAAAAAATAAGCTAAAACCTGTTCTGCAGACGCCAAATGCTGATAGTCGATGTGTAGGCTCTGCTTGTTCTCCCTTGCCATCTGCAGTATACGCTCGGCATATACATTACGATCGTTTTCGTCTAAAACGTTCTCAGGAATGCCTTGAAACGGTTTTTGATTTCTTGACGAGTAGCGGGTTGCTGAACCCACTCGACTACGGACATTCCCTTCATGTCCTCTAAGTTTTCAATGCTTTCTAACACGCCTTCTGGCTCTATTTCACCTTCATCACCAGCTGCAGCTCTTTCGGCGAGGCGCCTACGGCGTACAGGAATAATTTCCTCATCATCTTCAGCACCGTACAAATCTAGGTCCAGAAGTAATCACACAAATGAAACCATACCAGCTATAAGGTCACGTCGTAAACCACCAGTTGCGAGCAAACGCTCACGATCCCGCTGTCGCATTAAACGTTCAGCTTCAGCCCGTGCATTCGGTGATAATTCCTCAAGGTCTTCGTCCGGATCTGCAAGACCTTCAGCTTCATACACGTCTAGTTCTGGGATAGGACTTAAGAAACTAAAAAGGAACAACACAATCCTACCGGTAGTCGCGTTCCATATCATCTCCAAACAGATTTTCTCCAGACTCCTCCTCCTCATCGAGATTATCATCACCAAGAATTGCGGCAGATTCATCTTCAAATGCAGGTTCATCCAAATCTGGGCTTGCTGCTCCTTGTGAAGCATTAGCACGTCGATCTGCAGAGCTCGAGTCCTAAACCCAATAAATCCCTCACTAACATAACCTACCGACATCTGCCCAATTCAAAACCCCGGAATCGAGCGCCCGCCAGAGATTTCGACTATTTTAAACGAAATATTTAACATACATTCTGAAATTGCAGCATTTGAACTTTATTAGTTCCCTACGTTTAATCTGTGTCGTTTTAAAGGTTTTATGTAGACATAAGTAAGGAAGGACCGAATTCAATACTCAGTCTTCAGATAAAGAGACCTGGTCAATGACTGCGCTTGGCATACGCAATACGCCACTAGATAATGATTCGACCATGGCTTTTGTAGATCCTCAAGGGTGATTCGTCTTAGAAGGATAAAAGAAGCCTGACAAACCAACACGAAAGCCACTGTTCAGAGGGTAAAAGTTTGAAATCAGGTTACCTCTTTTCCTAACTAATCATTCGTCACAAGGAAGGCGGGCGAGACCAGCCACCAATTAGTAGCAGCCGTTTACAGCTGATTCCGGAGTATCACCCCCCTTTCTGAAACATGGATTAGTTGCCTCGATATAATGCGAAGATGAATCCCTGCATAAGTGGAGCATGGGATCCTAGACATTTCGTTATCAATGCCTTGAATATTCACCGAAGTCACCAAAGTATGCTGGATGATTGTGGCACAGAAGCCTTAAAATCATCAGTTGCCTATAAGTAGTAACATATGATTGCCTTTTGGTCCCTGTGCTCCGGAACCTGAGGTGCTAGTTAACCATTAATTGAATAACCACCAGAAAAGTCACGCCCAAACGCCACTCAAACAATTTTGATGGATTTCCAGCTCCATCAATTACAAAGTACAAGAAGTCTGCAAGCGTCACCAAGGAATAATGACGAACTCCGCTACTGTGCATGGTCTTTCATGTCTTGACGCCATCAGAATACAGTGGTGATTACAACATTTAGCCGCGAATAATTCCGCAAAGCCAATAACCCTGGTTGGGACGAAATGCAACATTGATGCTCGCCTTCCAGAGGTTCCAGGCCTACTGTAAAGCATCCAGGTTATTTGTACGCTGTCATGTTGTGTTGCTCTCACGCGGTCCTCTAACCAGTTAGCCGTAACGCTCCGGCGCTGAGGCACTGTTGATCAAATATACTGTTCCGTTTGAGTATTGTGTTCTTTCTTGGCCGCGTAGTCGTGAAAACATTGCAATTACCGGTATATAATGATCAGCCGTTTGTGACAGGTAGCTATTAAGACACTGTTTCATTTGCTCTTAGTTTTCGCCTGCTCACGCCTAAGTATTCCCCAGTCGATGGACGAACCACATTGGCAACAGCAAATATAAAACGTTTCTTCAACAACCCTGAGTATGACACTTTCAAAGACGTTACAACAGTCTATAGACACCACACCTGCAGGGAAATTCCTGTCCCCAGCCTTAATCCAATCGTCTCTGGCCAGGAGTAGGTTTGTCAAACAAGAAAGCCAACCAAGAAGCCATGTCGCTCTTGCACCGTAAGTTACGTGTTCTTATATACTTCAATGCCTAATCACGTATTATCTCCATCGCATGAAAATGGCAGTGTGACCGGGACGCAGCTGCCAACGTTTTCTCCATTACCCCTATAAGCACAGGATCTATGCCAGTGTTCTATCAGCCCGGCACTAACCTCTCTAGTTAATGGCCGGTCCTAAACCCGGATAAAGAGGGGAGGTTGAGCATAGGGCTAGCAACCCTGCCGCGGAAAACCAAACCAACCACCAAAGAAACTTCAAAGCACCAAGAAAATGTAAAAATCAAAAACCAACTTATTCCTCGCCGGGATAGGGAAGAAGAAATGACGCCGGTTATTGAAAGCCCTCGGAGGCCAGTTGGCCGACGTGTCTCCTCTCGATAAAAGCAAAAGTAGGAATGAGGACATCAAGATTCTAATGGGCGACATGAATGCCAAACTGGTAGCGGACAGCATAGGAAGAGAGCCAGCCATGGATCGAGAAGCACTTGGTGAAATGGTTAATGAGAATGGAGAACTGTTTGCAAACCTGCGCATTCGAGGATTTGGTGATTGGCGGTAGTATGTACAAACACAAGGATATTCACAAAAGACATGGATTTCACCAGACACACTAAAAATCAGATTGACGTCATCTCGGTTTGAAGAAAGTGGAAACGCAGCCAGTCATTTGGGAAACAAGATCAAGGAGAGGAGCAGGTGTAGGTTCACACCACTCACTATCCAGTGCAAGGGGCCTGTCTTCTAAGTCAAGCTGAAAACCTTCAGAGAAACTGGTGATGATGGGCCGCAGTTCAGGTTCAACACCCAGAACAGAAACTGAAAGAAGACACTATAGACGACATCTTCACGCTAGTCAGTCATCAGGACAAAACGGCAGATATTAAGTAAAATCCCTTAGGAACGCTGGAACTCTCTGAAAGAGATGTGGAAGGAAACCTGCATAACCGTATTGGGAAGGAAGGAAAAGCAAGACAGTGAATGGATTTTCGGCAGACACATGAAAACCCATGAAGGCGGTAAGGCTGCTGATGGTGAGGCAGAAGACGAACTAGTGAAGTGCAGTGCAAGGATGAACAACGAAAAGTGACTGAACACAACCTACAAAACACTACACCGGACAAAGGGGTGAAGAGAGCGCGCAAAGGCGAAAGACACGTCTGTGACGTGCTGGTAGGTCAAGCAGAACAGCCTACTAGTGAGAGAGACCTTACAACGTTACATCAGATGACTGGGTTACTATCTGGGAGGGAAGAGACCAATTCAGACGAAATTAATGAAAGACAGTGAAGGAAATCTAGTGACTAAAGGGGAGAAACAAGGGAAACGATGAGTTGACCACTTCAAAATACGCTTAAATCGACCACTACTACCACCACCTGCAACTGGTCCAGAAATACCACCAACAACCGCAGAACACAAGCCCTGAAACATAAGCCGAAGTCATGAACGCCATGAAGTTGCTGAAATCCGGGAAAGCAGTAGGACCAGATGGAGTCCCGCCAGAAGCACTGAAAACAGACGCTGAGACAACAGCGGACACGCTCACACCACTATTGCAGGAGGTTCGCAAGCACGAAAGGAAATGTACCTGCCGATTGGAAGAAGGGCTGGGGTATCAAACTTCCAGAGCAGAATGACCCAAGTCATCCCAAAAACTGGTGCAGAATCATGTCCCCGTCCGAACCCAACAAAATATTAGGCCGCATCATCCTGTAGGGACCAAAGGATACCCTGAGCCCAAAATTAATGCCGGAACATACCGGATTCAGGAAGTACAAATCATACGCGGACCGAATTGCAACGCGACATTACACAGCATCAGAGAACAGAGAGCAGAATGACAGTCAACTGGATCTTCGCCTCAACTTCATCGATTTCGTAAACGCCTTCGACGGCGTCGACTGAGAAGTAATTTGGCAGGCAGTTGCTTCAACACAAACTTATATCAAACTCCTTCAATAGCTATATGCTATGCGATGTTATACGCCAAGTGATTCACAATGGAGAGTTCAGTGATGCCTTTGAAGTGAAGGCAGGAGTAAGGTAAGGCTGACGCTTTCTATCACTCATGATCCTCCTGACTGTGGTCGACTGAATCATTCAACAGACAGTGAGGAGCGAGGAGAGAGGGGTATACGCTGGCTGGACTGATAAAAAGAGCCCAGAAGATTTGGAATTTGCCAATGACTTACATCGAATATCACACAAGCCTGGAGATCTGCAGGCAAAAAAGGACAAGTTGACAGAAGGGGTTACGCCCACGAAACTTCCTTCAGGCCAACGTGGAGAAGACAGAGGTGATGAAGATACCCAACCGACAACACCAACAAAGACAACAACAAGCACCAATCCCCACAGACGAGAGGAACCAAAGGGAAATGGTCTCTTTCACCTGCCTAGGCAAGGCCGTTCTGACTACAGGCGGTGGCACAGATGGGGGCACCAAAGCCAGGATTGGAAAGGCAGCAGGACAGGCCTTCATCAATCTGAAACCAGTGTGGAGATCTGCTCCACTCCGTTCCACTGCACCCAGCATAAAGCGCGAACAAGACCAGGATTACCAATACCAATGTCAGTCAGGTCAGTGCTTCTGTGTGATGGTTGACAGACTTGACGAGTTACGAAAAGCGTTTCCAACAAACTACAGACATTCATCAACGGCTGTCTTAGCGCCCACTGAATACAGCAGATCAGATTTTCAGAAGGAGTAGCCAACAAGGAACTCTGGCTGGCAACGAACCAACCCAAAACCCATCGTTCAACAAATATGCAGAAGAAAGTGGAGATTGATTGGGCATACACTGAGAAAACCATTTGGGGCATCACGCACCCAAAGCGGAAAGGACGAGTTGTGCATCCAACGGTGATATTGAAGAGATCAGGCGAGGAAGAAATGAATGCTTGTGTGCAGCGGTGGAGCCGGGCTCATAAGACTACAGGGAACAGAGTGAAACTGAGACGTACCGCTGAAGCCCTATGTTCCACTAGAGACCAAAAGGGCAAATAATAGTAATGATAATTCCGTCGGGTCGAAGGTGTCCGCGCCTGAGATAAGGTTATGTTGAATAACATTACTGATGGTACACTGTTAAGCTCTTTCGACCGAAAAAGAACTGTAGCATGCAAGCCCCCTGGGGCTGGTAACTTTCCAAGCCTCAAGGAGCAGTCTCTGGGTGCCTAGAAATAGGACCGGTTACTCGTCCAATCATTAACTCAGGTCAGAGATGCGACATCGCTTTGAAGTGTTAAAATAGTGTCAGAGCCCCGAGTATCGTGAGCTGATGCTACCAAAACGTGTGTGGATAAGTCGGTCAACAGTCCTGATAACATAAATAGCACTAAAAAGGACCTTTAAGGACCAAAAGCATTATTGTATGGAATTAACTCCATCGTTGGTGATGCTAGGGGAATGCAATTTGTTTCCGAAATCGAAACAATACCCGAGTTATGGGGCTACAACTGATCACTTAAAGATATGACCAAAATCATAAAGGACGGAGGGGGTGTAGCGGGCGTTGCTGATAACAACGGGTATACGTAGTATATATGGAGAGAGTG